CGGAGGGGTGGGTGAGTGGGGAGGGAAGGCATCAGGCTTTTAATCTCAATAAGTTAATAGACTTTCGAGTTTGGTCATGCTAAGTAGAACTTCATCCTTGTTGCTTGCAAACAAGCAGCACTTACACGGGAGACGGTCTCAGGAGCTGCTTGGCATTTCCATGTTACAGAGTTAATTTGTGTCACACCTGAAATTAGGAGATCTAACTAGAGTTTGTCGATACACCTATAAAGGCCAGTTAAAGGTTACTAAATACTGACGCAGCTTGGGGAACCCAATCTAGATATCTACTGTGGCAAGAGTAATGGATCTTAATGTTAATTAGACACTGGCCTTTCCAAGCAAAATAACTGTAACATATTACTCCTGACTGTATAATACCATCCCATCTCTCTGTGTAACGTATTTAACAGCCCAGTGTCTGGTAGGTGAAAGCATGTCGTTTGATTTTTGTTGTCTAATGGCTGTCAGCAAACATCTTGTAGTTCTGGCAGTAGTAGCTCGTTGTATCGTTCCAGACACCAGTAAAAAACTAGCTGCATAAGCTTTTTTTATGTGTGTTCGACAGTCAGTTTCCTAATATTAAGATTTTTGCCCAAAAAATCTCTGATTCCTTAGAAACACATTAGAACTTGAAAAAATTTGATTCCTCACAAAAAGTTTCAACAGTATAAAAAAAACAAAACACTTTATAATGTATTTAGCATTTTATGGATACTCATTCCTGTACTTTCAGCATTCAGCTAACCAGCACATCATGACATTTTCTGCAGTATTTAACAACTAGAAGTGCACTTTACATTTTTTTAATCTTTATGTGATTTTACTGAAAACATGAAAAATTGCAATATTGCTAGAGCAGCTCTAAGGCTGTAAGTTTGTTTGTTTTTCTACTTGTAAGTGAAATCAAAGACTTCATTTCGCTTCTTGTCCTCTTTCTGAATGTAAACGCTGCGTAAAAACCTCGATGAAACAGAAAAACATACAGACCTGGATCACATTATCTTCTGCCATATTACATCACCTGTAGCGGTTTGTTCCTCTCCAACACGTTATATTAAAACTTTGATGTTATTATTGGAGTTATGCGATGTAATATCGCCATGACAGTCCTTTAAATGATGGGCCAAACATTCTGACCATGACTTTATGAGGATTCTAACATATTTTTGTATAACACTGACGTGACAGCTGTGGTTCATTAATTATCTCCTTTGCTGGACATTGTGTATGAGTACTTCTGGAGGGAGAGGGGCTAATGTGGAAAATATGTAGAAAATGTATTTGGGTTGACAGTCGGGCTATTAATAATGATTGTGTTTGGATAAATAGTGCCCTACTTTCACAATCTGTAGAATCTAAATATTCCCAATAGGCTTCTTCCCTCCTGTATTGATTGATTAGTATAGTGTTTAAAGGTCATAGTCATAAAACATCAGGAGTAAATAACAGACTGATTTTTTTTTAATGTATTGCTTGTTGGGTTTTTAAATTATTGCTTCTCAGTGTAGTGTTTGGATTACCACGTGTTATTTGAATTTGGGATTGGCTGCAGAGCAAATGTAATTTCTGGCAAGACGGCGTTCCTCTCCATAAAGGGGCAGACCTGGGGGTAGATATCCTTTATGTACTGTGTTTGTAATCAGTTCCCTTCACGAAGACGATGCACCGCTGCGTCTCCTTTCTCTCTCCTCCCCAAAATACTCAAAACCTGCTTTCATTCTATGCAGAGTTACGTGGAGGCGAGACAGATGTGACTGGCTGTCTCCTTATTGTCGCCTTACTCAGCGTCTTCACAGATAATTAATTTGACGGAGAGCTTACAATAAAACACACTAAGACTGGTTTGGCCTTGATGTGACTAAAAGCTGCAGCCCGGTTGATGGATATGACGCTAACAGCTTCATTTCAGTCTGCCTTTTTAGGATTGTGTTCAAATGCTTTCAGTCTCGCAAACATTAAGGACTGACCACCACAACTGGGTTTTTTTTTTTAATAGCTTTCCTTATAAGGTTCCCAAAATAAAAGAAGATAGCCTTGGGAGTACAGTCATGTCTCGGTTTATGCAGACATTTATCTCAACGTCTGGAGTTTCTTTGGCAAGAACGATGGCTCGCAGTATATTCTTTTTTTATTTGTATTAATAAAAACATTTTCACCAACAGATATTTAAGAAAATTCAATTTCAGAAGAAGTCATTTCTGAATAACTAAATTACCTGACTATATCTATATATATATATATATATAAACCCCAAAAGGTGATTGGTTTTCATTTGGCTGCGACACTGCTCGACCTTGACAAGGAAAAAAAAACACCACAAAAGAACCACGAGAGAACACGAGTGGAAACCATAACCCAGTAATTTAATCAGATCAACCGAAATCAAAGGAGGCAAAAGTTCAGGATTTGAATGCAATGAAATGTATCAGCTTCTTAGAACCTACTGACATTGCTCACTTGTGGAGGAGCAAGCCTCGACAGAAAGGGCTGAGTAATGAAGATGGATGCATTCTGTTATCAGCCAGCCACTTACTGGGGCCTGATGTAACCTTAAACATTGAGGATAGCTCAGTTGCACAAAGAATCTAATTAATGAATAACAGCCATGAAAGAGGACAAGGCAAGTGTGCATTTGCAGATGAATTCCAGACGCTAATCAAACACTGTTTAAGTGGTTTGGTTTGTCTCCAGAGCGAGGCAATATTTGGACAGGACTTAAGGCACTGTTTGCATGCACACTTAATGACTGCATGCATTTTTTAGTGCTTATATGTGTCTGTTATGTGTGTGTGTGTGTGTGCTTTATCTTGCTTTCAGGTGTTATGTACAACCATGCCAAGCCTGAAGTAATGAAGCACTGAATGTGTAGAGCAGGTGTGAGGTTAAAGCATTAGTTTGAGTTTCTTCCAATATTAGGAGGTTTTGTTTAGTCTCTATTACAGGGTCAAAGTGCAGTTACTGTACTAGGATTTGGATATGAAGAAACTTTGTTCTGCTGCTCAGTGTATGCTGACTGCTTTAAGCTGGGGACACATTTACAAGCTAGAGTGCCTCTAATTTCTACGAGGTGGACAGCTATTAATCTCTATAAACTGAGATCTTTGTATGGATATACCAGATCTGTGGCGATCGCGTCAACATTTTTGTACTTCCATTTGTAGTCCAAGTTGTATTGACCAATCACAGCTGAGTAAGCATTGGCTGCATTTAGGTATTTCCATGTGGGCTGCAGAAGTGGCGCGCAGTGCTATCTTGAGACCATTCCCTATCGTCTAATGATGATTTATCCTTCATTCTTTCCCTGCGGGATGGTATTGCTCTCTCACTTATTCTCTGTTGTGGTCAAATGACACATAAATCAGTCGCTAGATGTCAACAATGTTATGCGCAGTTTTTCTTAAATCTGTTTTTACACAAGTTACTGCAAACTTTTCACAATACAAGTGTTTTCTCTGAGAGCTTTTGATGTGAATTTGCACAGGAAAGGTTGGGTTGTTTTAATCCATGAAGTTAACAGAATGGGAGGAGATTGAAATGACAAAAATCTGCCAGTGTTTCCATGTTTAACAGAAGAAATAATGAAAGGATATCTATCTTCAGACAATTCAAGGTCCGTCTCTTAGTTTTGTTGGGATTTCACTGTTCCTGTTCGTGTTTTAATATTAATGCGTTAACCACAGCTGGTAGTTTTAACATGAAGTATGTTCTCCAGTGAATCAGTCAGCACACTCCAGGCACTTAAGTTAGGTTTGGACAAGCAGTAACAGGCCATTATTTTAGTCAGCTAGAGAAATTAAAAACAAACTAATCCAAATCTGTGGAGTGCCTGAACCTGTTTTTTATGCCATTTTTTATGCTAATAATATTCTTTTTAATATCATGTCCTTTCACAGAGCCCCTGCTGTTATAACACCTTATTAAGACATGTTTCAACGTTTGCTTTGCCTTTATTGGCTCTTGAAATTAACCAATAGATGAAATTAGCTTGAATGATGTTTGATGTCTAAAGTATGCTAAATGTGGGTATTTTATTTCCTCTTTTGGAGAATAAAGAAAGTACAGTGTTGTTTAGGTGCTCTCCAGAGTTTATGGACTCAAGTCAAACATTTCATGTAAACTCAGAGAAAGTAATTTCCCCACAGGGATCAATAAAGTATACATTATTAAATGACAAAAATTTAAATTACAAACAATAAGATAAGAATGCAGATCATGTTATTGTGTTTCAAAATTGTGAGTCTCTATTTATGTAATCTTGCAAACTTCAGAGAAACTGCTTGAATTTGACTTTGGAGGATTTCACACTGAGCCAGAGCGCTCTGCACTTACCTGTCTGTGCTAACGTGGCGATAGTCATCGGCTCAGCTCACTTAACTCTTCGTGTCATAGATTTGCTGAGCTCATATTCAGGTAAACAAAACAACCTGAGCTACTGACTACAAAATATAATTTACCAAACCACTTAGAAGGACATAACGCATGCATAATATGCACACCCTTCACTTTCCAGGCGGGCAGTCTGGACATTATTAATAAACAGAGTGACGCTGACAGACAGGTTGACGGTTGGTCTTTGCTTTTACTTCATGTTCTCCTGTCTTTCTTGCATAACACTCTCAGCTTGACAGGACTCATTTTAATGCTTTCGTTTTATCCCTCACCAGTAGCATGAATATGTTGATGTCACGCACACACAAGCTCACATTCAGTCGAAATGAGCACAGGGTAATTGTACTTTTAAGTGGTGCTTTTCATCCACACTGTAGTTGAAGTTGTTCCGAAATAATCAGGGTGCTAAATTAAAAAATGAAAGTGTCGCAGGAACGTTATTGTAGCATTAAATATGAAGTTTACGCAACTTGAGCTTTTTTTACTGCTTTGAGCATTTAAAGTGGGTTCATCCAAACGTGATCACGGAGGTCAGAATCAAAAACATTTCTGCGTTTCTACATGTAGAATGAACGTTGTCACGAGGCTTCCTCTTTTGTGTCGTCCAGTACCAGCTGCAGAGGAGTTCCCCGTGGCGGTCGGTGAGCTTCCAGTGGCAGACGTGGCTTGTGCTGATCACGGCGACCGTTTTGATGAGTCTGGTGCCCTACGCTGTTTACTGCATGATGACGGCCTTCACCAGCCCTCCTCCTCCCAGCACCTTTAAAGTGGCAGCAATTTTCTTCGGTATACTGACAGAGACCCTGCTCATCAAGTGAGTGTGTTCTGTTTTACTGTGCATTTATTAACTAACTCATATGTGTACTGTTTTTTTCCCACCATGGAGTGCCCTTGGGCTGAACTCAGTCTAACACGGTCAGAATGATTAATGATTAAAATGGTGATAACATTCTTTCCGCACTCTTTCCACATTCTGTTCTGCTAAATGCATAAAACAATATTATCAAGTAACATTTCATTTTTATGTGAGTTTAAAAACAAGAAGCAGCGAGTGCCTGTGTCATCCAAATAATCATCTCTGAAAACATGTTGTTGTCTGACCCACAGCACCCTCCCACCTCTCTTGTTTTCACTTAGTCTCCTTTTCCATCTCTATATTGCTAATTGGAACGATGCCTGCGGTACTGTAAACCATTAGTAAATGAACAGTCTGTTTTTATTAACATCTTACTTGTAAATAATGCATTAGATTTCTGGCATAAACAATATCTACTCTCTGATTAGAAAGCAGCATATGGCAGGTCCTGTAATCAGATTACAGATACAGGTTATGTAACCTGTAATTGCCTAAATTAGTGATAAATATGTAATGGGTTACTTTGAATTATATTTCCTAATAATATTTTTGAAAATCAAGCTATGTTTTTAATGTGGCTTTGCCGACTTTGCTTAATTAAACTGGATGCTGGGATTCAGACAAGCTCCCCTGCTTAATAACATACTTTCTAAAATATGATGGTGGCAGTGGAAGTGACCCTCCAATCACCCTAAACAGCTTTCTGTGCCAGTAGCAAAATTAAAACTTTGTGTTCTACATGTGTCCTTCCTCTAGTATTTGTTTTAACTTGGAGGAAAAAAAAAGGCAGGCTGTTTGTAATTAACTCAACAAGGCTTCTAACGTTTTTTTCCCCCTTCCTCTCTCTCCATTAACCGCCCTTGCAAGGAATGTGGCTACTCAACTGGTAATTAATAAATATAGTGGTGGTAATGTGCTTCTGCATCATTATGTTGTTGAAGCCCTTATCCACACTAGTAATGAGCTGTAATTTTATGACAGGAAGTTGGTTTGTTTACAGCATGTTTGGCAGCGTCAGATGGGCTGCGTTCTCAGCAGATCTCAGCTGCAGGTATTTGCTTGATAATTAAGTCAAAAGAGGTTCAAATATGTTTTAGTTCAAATGCTCACACTCTTACAGGAACCATTCATGCTGACATGTGGTTTTCAGTGAGTAGCACATTGGAGCATCTCCTTTGTGCTATTCATGTTTCCATGTGTCTACATAACAAGTTAAACAGATGATCTGTTTAGGTCCATAATGTCCATAAGTATTTGGACAATGATGCATTGTCTTTTTTTGTAATTCTCGCCCCTGTAAAGAGCTACAGTCAGTGGATGTTAAATTAAAAATCAATCGAAAATAAGACTGAAGTTCAGACTTTCAACTTTAACTCAAGTGGTTTAACAATCATAGTCATTTTTACACACAGCCAAACCACTTTCCAAGGTTTAAAAAAAAAATTTAACTGTTGATGGACAAGCAGTTTGATATCCAAGTGAGCCTGCTTGCCTTGTATTTTCATGACAAAGTATGCAGATAAACAATCTGTAGTTGATTTCAAGTGTTGAAATTGAGGCCTAAAGAAATATCAGTGCTAGTGAGGAAGGCATTTGAACTATCATAGATTTAGTAAAAACGTCACGAGTGTCCAAATCAACAATCTGGGTCCTTCTTAAAAAGAGGCCTGTGCTGACCGGCTCAGTAACACCAACAGGTGTGAAAAAACTCAGTTCGATTAAAGTTGAACTACTTAAAGTTGAACTACTTAAAGTTGAACTACTAGTTATATTTTTCTGCTTTAATTGAAAGCCTACAACCAAGAAAGTGCAAACAACTTGTTACACCCAGGAAAAAGAAGGTCAGATTAGACAAACATCTAAAAGTGCCTGCACAGTTCTGGAAAACAGCCTTTGGACAGAAGCCAAGATGAAACTGGCACTGAAAGATGTACCAGAATGATGGGAAGAGAAAAACATGGAGAAGAAAAGGAACAGTTTGGGACCTGAAGCATACTACATCATCTGTAAAACATGATGTAATGTTATGGCATGGGCATGTATGGCTGCTAGTGGAACTGGGTCAGTAATGTTTTTATTGATGATGTCACTGCTGATAAAAGGAGCAGGATGAATTGTGAGGGGTACAGGGCAGCACTCTCTGCTCACGTTCACCCCAGTGCTGGAAAACTGGTGGGACGGCACTCATAGTGCAAATAGATAATAATCCAAAGCAAACCTCAAAAACAACCCAAGAGCTTCTCAAAGCAAAGAATTTAAAAATTCTTCAATGGACAAGTCAGTCATAAGATCTCAACCCAGTGGATCAACTTTTCAGTCATCGAGTTTTCAGTTGAGCCTCTGGAAATGGGGCACTGTGTGTAAAAAAGAAAGCTAATAAAATACTTTTTTAAAACCCTTTGAATGAATTAAAAGTGAAGGTTAAAATCCACCGTGGTGGTGTACAGAGGTAAAACTGCAAAAGTTGTTATTGTCTAAATAGTTAATGACCTAACTGTACATTATTACTGGTACAGTAAGAAGGTTAATGGGAGCCCTCATTAGGATTGGTGGTCTACACAGACCTTGTGTCTCATTGTGCTTGTGCTGCCTGGGATGTGCCAGTGTCCTGCTGCCCCTTGTCAGTGTGCATCTCAGTCACACTTCAGCCCCAAGGGTGGGAGCTCTAGTAAGGAACGACCCCAACTCACCCCCACCCACGACTCTGCCCGTTAGTCTGACAGACAGGGATAAGATGAAGATAAACAAGCAAAGAGCTCAGAATGACCTTTTATTGTCTGCATCATGTTGGATCCTTGTTGTGAACTCATTTGCTTAATTTGAGTTCACAACAAAAAACCAATGGGAGAAAATAAGTGCAGGACACAGGTTCATCTTCTATGGAGTTAAGTGCTAATTAGGGGGTGTATTTGACCATAAAACCTCGTCTTGCAAGAAAATCCACCAGTCAGTCCCTGGTAGATTATGACACCAATGAGAGACTCAAGGGTGAGTGGACTTGCACATCTTGAGGGTCCTACTCAGTAGCTACAGGGTGAACAACAAAAGGCAGAAGCCATTTGTTGCCTGCTACCAAAAGTGACAGACCCCGGGCGATCCAGAGACAAAGGCAGCTGCGGACGGACTCGCCAGATGTTGAACGACAAAAAGTTTTACTGCCCATAGAATGAAAAACCCAACAATCATATGACCCCCTATGAGCAAGCACTTTGGCGACAGTGGGAAGGAAAAACTCCCTTTTAGCAGGAAGAAACCTCCAGCAGAACCAGGCTCAGGGAGGGGCGGGGCCATCTGCTGCGACCGGTTGGGGTGAGAGAAGGAAAACAGGATAATCACTGGGAAGCAAAATGGAACTGAGATTAAAATCTGATTAATCACCCAGATCTGTGTAGTTGTTGTGTGTCAGCTACAGCATCTTTTGTTATGTAAGATTTATTTAGACGAAACCACGCAGCAGGTCCAGCTCCACATGTAAGCTCAACTTGACAATAATAATTTTATTTCACAGTTGAGTTCAAGAATACATTTTTGTTCATCTCATAAAAACTCGAACAATCCTTCTTTCAGCGATGCTCTGGCCTCCTTCCGGCATTTTGACCCTCCAAAATAATCTTCTTGCCTCCTCCTCGTGCTGCAGGTCTGTTATTGGACACATTCACGAAGTCACATGATATTTGTCAGACTTGAACTGCCTTTCAGAGGGCTGTCACACAGTATGCGCTCTCTCCTTCCTTTACTGTCATGGTGAGAGTTTGCGGCGCTGCGACAGTGCCCTGACCATGCAGCTCTGCGCTGTGAATTTTTATATGCCATTGCCTGGAGGTTAGAAACTCTCATTATGCCGTGTTAGATTTATTAAAATAGATTATGGAAATGTTAATTAAGTCATTAATTACATTATTTAAGCAGCATTGACAGATAAGGGAGTGTGTATGTGTGTGTGTGAGGGGGGGTGTCGAGCTCCCTGGGTGGTTTAAAAGGATGTGATTGGTGACAAGGGACACTGTGGAGATGGCGTCTAACCGCTAGCACTGACATGATACAAAGTGGCCTACACTGCTCTCTCACCTCACGCTACTGTCTACAGCAGTTTGCAGAGCTGCCTGAGGACGAATAGCTCATCGCCCTTTTACAGATTTAGAAGTGCACACAAGGCTACAAATGTGCTGCTTTTAAGTGGCCACTGCACGTAAGTTGAGCAGATTTGGAGACGAGTGCTCTGAGCGTACATTCTGCTTTACATTCTCGTTTTTTGTGAACGTTTGGACGAAGCATTCGCGCTGACATATGAGCAAAAGGCCTCAAACCAAATTTGCAAGCCGTTCCAAAGGAAAACACAACAGCACAATTGTAAGATGAATTACCCACGAGTTGATACCATGGACTCTCTTATCTGTTGACAGTTTAGTTACCACAAAGCACAAGAAATGTGTTTTCCAATTCTCTGAGAATTGAGCTTTTCTTTGTCCCATCAAACCTATATTAAGGGAGGGAAAATTGCTCTGATCACTCTTGATAAGAACAAATGATAGATGTTGTAAACAAGCCGAAGGCTTCAATTCTGATCTGAGGCATTGATTTGCCTCAGCAGCCAATTACTGTGGTGGGCCGAGGTTATGCATTCAGTGTACTGGGAAAAGGATTTTTTTTTGTCCACCTATTATTATTTTGTAAAATGCTAAATTAAAACAGTTTTTTTTTTTAATGGTTAAAAAATCCAGGTGGAAATAAGCAGTCTTCGCTTAGTTTTCGATCAGGTTGAAGGCAGCGCTGAAAGGTGAATGTCTTCATATTAAGTGGCTGCTGATTGTAGGAAATGATACAGTGTGTTGCTGCCTGGCCACGTCAGAGTCAAGCTATCATTGGGTTCATGTGACTGATGTAGAAGCACATCAGTCACATGAACCCAATGATCAGTAACTGATTACTGAGATAGTTGGTATGCACTGTGCCTACAAGAACACACTCATGGAAGGTCTCCCAAGACTGAAACATGCTTTTTTTCCTAGTGTCACAGTAGAATTTTACATTTTCAGCATTTTTTCTCTTTCTCTCTTTTTATGTATGTTGTATGTATGAATGTATGTATTTGTTGTCCACCACATCCACTCCAAAACAGACATGGGACACTTTGTTTTTCACTTGTCAAACATTCTCTGAGTCGCTGATGCTTAATGTGTAGGTGGGAGGTAAGGTGGAAAGAGCTAGTCTGGCTCCCATCACCAACTCCTCAAAGGTTTACCCATTAACATTTTATATTCAGATTAATTAAAAATTAAAGAAAAGACCACTGATGGCTTCTTTGGCATCGATTCTCCGTTGAGTTTCTGGAATTCAATTCGAGTTATAAATGCCACTCTACCAAAGCATATTTCTTAATTTGGTGTTTTGATGGTGAACACGGTCCAATGCACTGGCCCGTTATCTCTGGGTTGAGAGTTGGTTAATCTAAAAGCTTTATCATTTTTTTTATACTCATCAAGCCACTCGGTGACCCGTTGTGTCCACAGACATTATAGAAGATGAACATAGCCACTGAGATATTAGTGAAGACCTCTTATGAGTCTATTTTTCATTAGTATCTTGGTGGGTTGGATTTAATTGTTGTTCAAAGGAATTCTTCAACAATCTGCAGTGCAGGAGTATTGACTAAAGAGTTGTCATTGAGTTATTACTTAGTTAGCATGCCATAAATAATCCTCCTTTTTAGCTTTAATAATGAGGATAATTTATATTTACTGAAGTCAGAAAACGGGGGCGCCGAGGGCTGAAATCCCAGAGACTTTTATGCAACCGGAAGTCTTTTTTAGTGAAGGACCCCGCTGGTCATTAAAAAGAATGAAAGTTTAAGCACTTCCTCACTGGATTCACCTTTAAGACCCGCGAGCTCTGTCCATCTTTTATACCCTAGTTTTGTGCTGTGGGCGGAGGAGATTGTCCACCTGGAAGCGATCTCTCCCTTCAGGAAAGAGTGTAGTATTTATTGTGCTGACCTTTATTCAAACAAAATTCAACTTGTATCTCATTTTGTTCATAAGCGGACTCAAACCATGTAAGCAAAATCCACCCGCAGGACAACGCAGGCACCAGATGCTCGCACAACAATACAACAATGCTCTCGTAACAACTGTTTGTGCATAGCAACTAAAAGGTGAGCGCAGTGGTTGGTGAGATCTTTTCAGATACATTTTGAGCTACTGTGCACAAAGAAGTACATCGTTTGTTTTTTTAAAAAAAAAACATCCTCACAGTTCAGTTGGTCTCAGTTCAGCAGCAACAGTTTTTTGTAACACAAGGGCAAAAAGGTTTTGGTCATATTAGGTCACATGTGCTGTTTGCATGCAAGAGTCCAACAAACAAAGTGCTTCCAAGTTTTTATCCCTGTTTAATAAAGAGGGTGAATGTTAAGGAGTTAATGGCCCTGATGTACTCTAAAACACACAGACCTGGTTCTGTTAATACTTATTTCCATCTTCATGTGCCTGTTTACAAGAAGTTCACAACAGTAAATATTGAGCAGCATCCGGACACTCCTTGTGGACTTTCACAGAAACGGTATTTAATCATTTACACTCTTGCAGCTTTGTTGACCTCTCTGTGGAGTCCTGTTCTTTGGAATCTTAACTGCCCACACTGACCTCTTTCATACCTTTTCTCTGCAGTGCAGGAGTATTAAACATCCTGGCTTAGACGATCCGAGCAGTTTCTTCCAACATGTTTTTGACCAAGCAAAGACGTCTTGTATAGATGTTTTTGCAGGAGATGGTGCTGGATAGAAAAATGTGTAATTTCACTCCAGTGTAGCAGGTTCTGATTTACACAAATTAGCCAAATGATTACAAGAACTCGCAGAGGAAGTGAGTAATGATGATTGGCTCATGGCATGTTCAAAGGGTACGTGAACAGTTGGTTTGTGTAATCAGTATGTTGGATTTGGGAGACACGACCAGGTGTTAATCCCTGTAATCCAGACATAACGACTGATGACTAAGATTGCTTGTTTCCAAAGTGGGAAAATTTGTGGGTCAACCGCAGGGTGAGGAGGGACAAACAGCCACAAGCTGTTTATATAATATATAATATAATGAAAAAAGTATGATCTGCGGCCCCTCAAGCTCTTAAGGAATCTGTTGCTAACGATGAGTCGTGTAGGGATCGTGCCTCAGCTTGGATTCAGATGCTTAGCGGCAAGCAGAGGACCACAGCATATTTGGGTTAGTGGTCGTAAAAGTTTGGCTTATCGGTGTTTACTGATGCATCAAAAGAATTTTAATGTCAGCATGAGACGGTGAAGCTCGTGAATATTTTAAGACTGGGCTGTATGGGAGGCCCTCTGAATTCAGCTGCAGGCTTCCATGCTCTCTAACGACTAAATTAATGGGAGGAGAGGGATTTAGTAATGAGATTAGGATTATGTTATTACACTAACAAAGTTATTTGGGATTTGCCAAAGTGCGAATGTAGCTAATTGGACTTTTTCGGCAAAATTATGTGGGATGAAGCAGTCAAACCTTGAGTCTTTTCCTAATCTTTGTGCTTTGGCTGGATTTTCTCAGGTGTCTGTGGAGTTACTTCAGCTCTCGGTACCGGCAGGCAGCGCAGAACTCCCTCGTAGTCCAGCCCAGAGACTCGACAGAAGACAGAAGCAACCCCGGCCTCTGGGATCGGCCTGAGGCCGCCTCGGCAGATCGCGCTTCATCAGCAGCCTCATCCACTCACATGGAGGAGAGGAAAGTGGATGTGTTGAAGAGTGGATGCCTCAGCCTTTTCTGAACCAACAACAGAAGGAGTTTACAGATTACAGGGTGAGAGTAAATCCTTGGGGAATTAGATGTGTCTGAGAGCCATTGAAGCTAACACATCAGTATATCAGTGTGGCATTTATAAGAACTTACACTTTAAAACCTATTTTTGAGGTGTCAAATATTCTTGTTTTCCTTACACTCTCACTCGTTTCAGTGGATATATTCACACATGTTGCAAATTGATAACAAGGAAGGGAATGCACGCAGGCAGCATGAGTGTATTCAGGCTCAGAGAGGGGAAAAAAGCCTGAAATTACTCCCTTTCCTTAATGATGCCCACACAGAGACAATGGGGCGCCGCTCTGATTAGTGTCACCTGTCCTTGTGCATCTCATCAGCTCCATTATGGCTCCATCTCCCATGCTTCTTCTGCTAATTGAATAGCCTGTGAAGTGGTGACGAGGACGGGGGCGAGAGCAACGTCTGTCCCGCTGCTGCTTCAGAAATGAGACTAAAGCTTCCCAGAGAGACACTAGTTCTTAAAACATAAACCATTATTATACAGACAGAAAACGTGCTAACAAGTCGCTCTCATGTTATATTACCATCACACTGTCTGCACATTATTTTCACCTATAACTGCTTGGAATTAACATTTTGGGCCATTTGCAGCAAAAGAGATGGATGAGAGGAATGATAATCAAACACACATCTGTTTATTAAATATAAAATTATTGCTGGTTAGGTTAGCTTAGCACAAAGTCTGGGAACATAGAGCCTGGCTTTGATGAAATCTGCATACCAGGTGAGCTCTGAAGCTCGCCACCAACCCCCGATATGTTGTGTCTTTGGTCTCTTCCAAAACTGAAGTTGTGGGCAGTTGAAAATGGTGTAAGACAGACATTAATCTATCAAGTGCATCTTTTTAGCCTACAGCTCCTGATGACTGTTACCAATCAGCTTTGCAGCTGCTAAATGAATCATGTAAAATATTAAATAGTACCGATTCCCATCTGCCATGGTTGCAGCCAGCGGGTCCTGGTGAATAAACTGCTTTTCTGGAGGAGAGACCTAACATGTTGATTGCACAATTACCTTGCTTGGTGTACGTTTGCATTACTTTCAAATAAAGTTTCCCATAGCAGCTTCCCACAAAACCTTTGAATAGTTCACTTTGAATAGTTTACATCAGAACAACCCACTCAGACATCAGCAGTTGCTCCTTCTTTATTCAAAGCAGCTGTCAGTCACAGCGATCTGTAATGAGGACAAATAATCTTATTATAGCATCAAATAACTTATAATCAGCAAACTGATAACAAAAAATATCAACATCAGTGTTATGGCAAGTTCCTGCAATAGGAAACTATTTTGTTTTGGGGGGGAGGGGGTTAATTAAAGGTTATATAAAGGTTATTGCTGGAAGTAAATATACTGCAATTTTGGGAGATTGTCCGGGATTCGTTTACATGTTTTTAACGGGGGGAGAAACTGAAGCTCCCAGGAGGGAATTAGACCTGCACTCAGAAGGACTCTTAACCTCCAAGCTGTCGCCCGAGTGATGACACGTTGATGACATCATCCAGGTTTTGAGTGGAGCTCTCCTTCAGTATTCGCTCAAATGTGCTGTAAATTGGTGTTCCTGTATAAATGTGTTTCATAGGAAACTGTCTTGTATATTAAACAGTCAAATAAGTGAGTGTTGTCCTTTGTTAAATCACTGTGTGTGTGGGGGGGGGATAAAGTAAATGAGAGTTATTATAAACTGAGGCGGGCCTCTATCTGATGTTTGTATTCAGTTGTTTTCAGGTCAGTCTATATTTAGTCAAAAGCAAAGACATGAGATATTATTCAGATGTGAAGACAAAACCTTGAAGTATAAAAAGCACTCTTTTATTTTGATTGGATAAACATTGCCAGCTGTGATGCAGGGCTGCAGTGTTGGTGCCTCTCCTGCCAGGCAGGAGCTTTGCTGTTATCTGCATGTGCCCGAGGCTCAGCTAATGTAAAAAGATCCTCCTCGCTCTGCTCTGCTAGCAGTGAGCTCTGCAGGCTTATCCTGCTCAGTCCCTTTCCGTTTCACCTCCCAGTCACAGCCAAGTGACTCTCAGCTGTGCAGCGCCTCAGCTCGGGCCTTCCTACAGACAGAATAGAAGAAGTACAGCAGTATCTCACGCTCTCGAATCTGTTAAATGCCACAACAACAGTGTCCCCACGCCTGTATGGGTTCTGGGACTTAATTTGAGCGCGTGGGACCAGATGGACACCTTCATGAGTGTACAAGTGTGGATTATTCTGTAGGCTACATCTGGGGCTCCACATGGCACAGCAGACTGCAGTAAGAGAGGCAGGTGGGCACATGGGGAGGGCACACCTCCAGTGGGCTCTCTTACATCTATACACACCGACAAGACATCTCCGCAAATGGCAGACTGAAAGGTTACGAGACCATCCTGCAAGACAAATGCCTTTCCGAATCCTGGCCGGTGTCCTCTTCTGTCCTTAACTTCCTGTGTGTCATCAGCATTCTGCTGCTTCCAGGTGACTTCAGGTTGTGTGTTTTTTTTTTCTTAGTTTGTTTCTGTTTGACGCTTTTGTCCAAAACATATTTCACCACATCCACACAGTGGGAATAATTTGGGTTAAAGTGTCTTGCTCAAGGACACTTTGTCATATGGACAAAAAGAGAGAGGGAATGGACTGCCACTCGTATGATTAATGGCCTGCCTACTCTACCACCTGAGCTACAGCTGCCCATAGTACTGTAGGAGCATACCACCACCATCAGCACATTATCACATTGTTCAGTATTTATCAGTGGTGGAAATAGTAAGATCATGTGATAACAGTAAGGGAGCAATATGCTGTGTAGCATTAGGAAAATCCACTGCTGAAATAACAACTCAGTAATTTGGTAGATTAATAAAAATTTAAATCTAATTAATGATTATTGTGTGATTGAGCTGTTGGTGAGTTCATTTTCTTAATCACCCTGAGAAAAAAAAAAAGATGAGGTGGTAGACGTCGATCTTTTAAAAATAGGTCATTCTAGCCTGTTGCTAGGTGGTTGCCAGGTAACCTAATTGGCGTTATAATGTATCATGAGTAACTGAAGCTTCGTGGATACAAATTATTACAAGTTATTGTGGTGAAATAAGCATGACACAATGCATAAAGGCTAAAATGGTTGGTAAGTAACTTAATGACTTAATATATTTCGTGTAGAGCGCACACACACACACACACACACACACACACACACACACACACACACACACACACACACACACACACACACACACACACA